TGTTAACGTTGGAATGACCACCCAAATAAATTTTGGGCTACCTAAAATTGTATCTTTTTTTTTGGTTAATTTAACTTTTAAAAACTCTTTTAAACTTTGTTATAACAGACTGGAGAAATATGGAATGAAATATATGAAGAAATAAAGTTAGAAAAGTTAAGACCAGTCACTATGGACAAAAATATTTTGGAATCTATTACAACAGCATCAGAAAATATTGGAAAGATGGTTGCTTCTCTGCAAAGTGAGATGATTGAAAGCCAAGCATGCCAAGATGTGCAAAATGAACAAAAAGTATATACAAAAGTAAGCCACATATGCCACTGAGGCACAAGAAAATAATTTTAATGTATAAACAAGTTGAAGTTATCCACAGGATATATTTGCCTAACTTGTGAGTGTTTCAGGACTTAGTTATTTTATAATTTTCTTTTATTGTTACTTTCAGTGTCTTTGTACAATTTTTAAAGAAAATATGGAGTTAAGAGCTTGAAATTTAATTACTATACTCAATGCTGTTTTATGGAATTATCATTTGATTTCTACAGACTTATATTTTAAAAGGTAGACACCTCAGACCTTTCCATTTTTGAAAGGTCAGAGTTTCAAAAATTGTAATCTAGTTAAATATATACATTTAGCAAATTCAGACAAATGGTGTATCTCTGTGAATATATATATATATATAAAACACCTCATAGAGAACATTGGCCCTCATCCTTCACTCGGTGATAACCATAGGGATACTGACAAGATTCTCCTCACCTCACTGCCAAAACACTTACTATGATCATTCTATAAATCTGGTCTCTGACTTTAGCTAATCAGAAAAAGCCTGTCAGGAAGATATAAGCCATTTTCCTAAAGCTTTACACAGGTAAGAAACAGAACATATCAGAAGTGACCAAATAGGTTAAGTGGCTATTTAAGTGAACTTGTCCACAGAGATGATTTGGATCCCCCTCGCTTCTGCTTGGTGATCCTTTATGACTAAAATTAAACATGTAAAACTCTTTAAGGAGATTCCCAAAGTGTTTTCTATTGCCTGATCTTCTCACATAGACTATTAAATATTTGTATCTTCAGTCTAGTGGACCTCAGTATCCACCTATAATTTCTTCTTCATCTTAGCCACCTCCTGGCTCAAAAGTTTTGTTTGTGGAGACTTTTTATTGCAAGGATGCCATCACTTAACCCACTTATTTGCTCCTAAGTGGGTAGCCATATTGGAAGTTCTGCTGCCTCACTAGTTCTGTTGAACGGCCCGATTCTGCTTCATGGACTAGCTATTGTTGATTTGTTGGTTATTTTTTACTTGTTATCACGGCTCTTACCCCACTTTTTAGCAGTTGTTTAATTAAATACTCTAAGGTTCATAATTTAAACTTAATAGCATATTATACACTAACCAAGGGCATATATCCTTTGATTACATATGTAGGGGTAAGCCTGTTGAGAACTAGTCTTTGCATTTTGTTAGTAGTTACCTCCCTGGTTTGCATCACCACAAGAAACTCAGCACTCTCACAAAATTGCTTGTCTTGCTACAGTCAGAAATTAGAGCACTTTTATCAATATAATCTTGCTTGAACTATTATAAGTGGCAACAGGAATCTATTTTCTCCTGTGAATTTTCTGTTGGGTCATTTATGTAGCTTGTTCTGGATTATATACTGTCTTTATAAGTGATAATCATATAAAACAATCATCTTGCTGAGAATGATATTGTTATTTTCATATTTTATAACAGTTTTGTATTACTTTTCATGGGAAGCAGTTCAAACCTTAGCCACATAGTGAAAGGATTTTTTTTTCCATTTTAAGACTTTTGTTTTTTAAGTTGTTTAAACTCTAATCTTTTTGCTAGCTTGCCTTAAAATTCATGTTGGCAAAAACTAGGTCTTTCCTCAAAATACAAGTATTCAAGCCCTTTAATATTCTTTCATAGAAACTGGAAATCTTAATTATCGCTCTCATTTCAGATACAAGCCACACACAAGCAAAGAGAACTGGCTAATAAATCATGGGAAAATTTCTTGGCTAGAACATCAAATGCTAAAACTTTAAAGGTAGGATTTTCTTTTTAATATTATGATATCCACAACAAATACCTAATCTGACAGAATTTTTCAGGACTAAATATTCATTCACCTTTTTCTGTTGATCTTTCGTGGAATGCCAACACTATTAGATCCTCATTTGCAATTTAGGATGATAACTGACACTACACATTTTTACAGTTATAGAAGATACCACTCTGAGTTTCACTTGGCTCAGTAGTAGGAAGCAAAGATGGTATTCCTGGTTAGCATAAAAGAGATGAGAATCAGTCAGGAATGAGCAGGAGAAATGTGCTCCTACTTTCCATTCTAAGCCTTCTTATTCACTGGTCTTTTCTAGTAGAAGCAGAGTGAAGGACACAAAAAACAACTCTCCGTATTACCCTCTCCCTCAAAGATGTTTCCCCTCTGTTACCATCAAAAGAAACATGATATCAATGCTTAAATGGGAATTTGGGCTAAACACCTCTTTGGAAAGATGTGATAACCTGTTTCAGCTATAAGCTAGAAACTAACCTAAAAAGTTTATAATGCTAATTGCTCACCTTAAATATGTTAAGCAGCACCATAGATTTCCAAAATATCATTACTTTTTCCTAACTTTTCCATTAATATTTGGGATACACTTTTACATAATGTTACAATTCTTCTAGGTATGAAATTGTTAAATGTTATGTTAGTCCACAAAAATAGTAGAATCATATTAAGATAGCCTCTTCTATGCAGGTCATTTATTACATTGAATTTCGCCTGTTCTAGTGCCTCAACTATTGAGTTTGAATGTAACTGCAGCAAATTATATAGTTTACATTATTCTGAATGTTTGAAATGTTTAAGTGTACTGAATTAGTATTTAATTTATGCAAAACAATTTGAAAACGTGCACCACCTGTTGTAAATTTAGTAGCTTATTCAATTATGTGCAAAAAATTGAACCTGATTTCTGTAGGACTTACCTTATCCCTTGGTCATATGTGAACAGTACCTCTGGAAATCTTAGTAGCACTTTCAGGTGTTTTCTGCTCAGTACAAAAGGTATAACTTGCTAATAAGTATTTTCTTAGCCTAAATGAGTAAATGCAGGTTCTAGTGCTAACTAATAAATTATAAGCCAGACACAAATGTGTTTTGTATATTTCCTTGTTAAGTACCATAGTTAATGCTTTAATAGCAATTAATTTTATTTTTAATTTTCTTTCTAATTCAAAAATCTCCAGAAAGCAAAACGACTTCAGGAGAAAGCTATAGAATCCTCTAGACGCAGTAAGCAACCTCCAAATGCAGTATTTCACTGGACAGATATTAAAGGCCTTAACACAACAGTAAGATTTTTTTTCTCCATAACTTTTCTTAGCAGGTATTGAATTTAGTCCCCAAAGTATGTTATTTCCATTGGGTTTTGTCTCATAGTTCTTTTTGCCGGCCAAATTTCAAACAGGTATGGGATATTTATCTCTACCCTTTCCTGGCCCAGGTTTAGATCAGACCTAGCCCTCTAGGATTCCCAAGAAACACTATAAACACTGCTCAAAATATATCTCTACATCTCTTTGACAGAAAGTGTGCATTGCCTCCTTTGCCTGGCAAATAGACCCAAGACCATATTCCAGTGTTCCTGCTGTCCTCTTCTGGACATGTTTGGCCCTGATTGGAAAGCAGTAGAAGTAGAATTCAAACCCATTTTCTTGGCTCCAAAGACTTTATCTTTCCATTATTCCACCCTGCCTCCTAGTTACTATGTATATTTTGTGTCTTTTCCAAAGTTAGCTGAAGGAGGAATGGGTTTTTCTCTTATTGAAAATTTTTGTAAATGGATTCTTAAATATTTACTTTTGCTTTTTAGGTTCCCTCTGGTCGGGTAGTAACAGTGGAAAGCACTCCTGCCCGATTAGTGGGAGGACCTCTGGCTGATACAGATATTGCTCTTAAAAAACTGCCTATTCGAGGAGGAGCCTTACAGAGGGTGAAAGCAGTAAAAACTGTGGATGAGCCAAAGAAGAGTGTTCCCACATAAATACTGTAGAGACGTTCTGAAATAAATTCTTATAATTTTTAGTTAAATATATCTTACATGCAAATGTAAAGCAAATATTTTAGAATAAATATTTTAGTTAAAATACTATTAAAAAATAAAAGCAAGCACATATAATTTATTTTTATTGAAAATGTCAACATACACTTGTGAGAAAAGTTGTCATCAATTTCTTCTAAAGATTACTAATTCTCTTAACTGAAAACTTTAGAACATACTGTATCAGTTAAGACTCTTTTGGCTGGCATGAGCTACTCTAACTAGTTTAAGCCGAGGGAAAAAAAAAACTTCTACACATTCTGTGCCTATAAAATCTAGTAATTAAAATGACAAGCAAGCATTATTGGATCCAGGGACTAAAACTTTGTGAATAGGATCTTCTCCTTCCCTAGCAGGTCCTGAATTATATTCTCCCAGGTTGATACCCAGTGAAGAAATGCCTATATCTGAACAGTCTCTGCAATTGTCTCTGCATCTTGGGTCCCCTGATTGGCCACATGCCCACTCCTGAGCCATTCACCATGAGTTGGGCCAGATCTGAGGACTGTCTACTCCCAGAGCCAGAAGCAGGCCAATACCATCCAAAGCATATGGATATGAGGAATCAGGATATTGTTATTATAAGTATATATAAATAGTGGGCAGCAAAAACATTTGCAACAAATATATTGGTAAAAGTAAAATAAGTTACCTCGCCTACAAAAAGCATGGACTAAACAATAAAAATAAAAAACAAAAGTACAGATGGTTTACTCTTAATATAGAAACAAACTCTAATGCTACTTGTCTTCTTTAATGGGGAAGGGAAAGGGGGAGTGGGGGAAAACAGTTTTGGTGGTGGAAGGATCTTGCCAAAGAATAGGAGGTAGATGCCTGAATGCTGAATGTAGAGAAAAGTGCCTGTGTCCCTGTGTGCTGCTATGAGGCTTCCACAGCCTGTCTCTATGCCCATCCACCCCCTTATCCACCCAGGAAGCTGTAAAGTTGAGTTCATGTCCAAGGCCGGGAGAGACAAGAACCTGTTTTCTCAGACAGGAAAATACAATGGAATTTGAGTCTAGACTCTAGGCCTATCGGGTGCAGTATACTGGTGCTAAATGTATAACCACCAGCTCTTCAAGGGAAAAAAGCCCTCATTTGTAATGCTTGGCAATTTGCATGGTATAAATACTCCCACTATGACTAATTTCAAGCTAGCAACATGGTGCTACTAAGTGCAGAGTTGGGAAGACATGCATAGAATCCACCTTTATTATCAGATAAACAAAGGCTCCATCACCCCACCCTCTCCTGCTCTCTCCTCCCTCCTTCCCTGACTCCTCCTCTCCCGACTCACATTCCTCCAGGAATTTTTCATGATCCCGACTGTGAGGACAGTAGCATCTGCAGAGAGAAGAAACTGCAATTGTTGTTACTGTTCTAATTAGAATGAGTTGCCAGCAGCCTCTCACCGTGGCCCAGCTGCCCACTCTCCTTGTGGCTCACAGGAGCAGATAACATGCACCAGCTTATCAGTGAACTCTGTCCTCTCTTGAGTCCCTTTCTTTATTACCCCACCCCACCCCAAGAAGATAGTAGAAAGCATAATTTGTTCCTCATCTTCCCAGGAAGCCCTAAGCACAAAAATAACATGTAAAAGGGAGTAACTGAGACACAAGAATGGATGTGGGTAGGAAGATGGAACCATGAGATATCCATACAGGAGCACCAGACACACTTCAGGTACATCTCAGACACACAGAATTGAGATGAAGTGTTAAAGGCTAAGAGCAAAGAATGTTTGCTCCATTTTTTAGACTGTAAGTTCCTTCCTCAGACTCTCAACTCCCTTAAGACAAGATAGAAACCTTTTCTCATTCATTGTTGTAACCAACTCCTCAGTAAATAAATTAAGTGATTGAATAAGTGTGAGGTTGGCCTCATCTCCTGGCAGCCTTCACCTTGACTTCTGCAAATGCAGCAAAATCCTAAACTCAAAGGGAAGGTCCAGCCAACAAAACACTATACAGGGAATGCTAAACATGGACACGTTAAAGTATTTACTTCATAACAGTGACAGATCTTCTCTAAAGTGATAAGGCTTATACAATGTTACATTAACAGGAATAGAACTGATATTTCTTGGCTGAAGATAATTTTTTGAATGTAATACAGTACCTCCAGACTGATAAGGACTGACTGCAGTCAAAACAGTCTGTGATTTCTGTGAACCTTTTCCCTGCCATTGTATATCTTACCCATGAGGAAGAGGAAAGGTAAAATATGGCAGGCAATAACCCAGCAGCCATTTAGCAGAGGAAGAGATGTAGGTGGATGGAGGGTAGTAACGTTTAATCCAGATACTTGCACTTGGTAGACAGCACCCAAGTTTGCATATTACAGTTCCAGCCACCAGGCAGTGAGACAGTGAATCAGTCCCTCTGTCTGACAATGACACTAATTGAGAAGTCTGTCTCTCCTCACACCCTGTGCTCCCACACCACTCCTGAGCCTGAGGGGATGTACTGCCTTGCCCACTCAGCCTGGCTGAAAGGTGGACAGTATATTTCCTTTCATGAGTCAGTTGAGACAAAATTTCAGCTCTCAAATATACTCCTGATAATAAACTAAATGAAAAGAAAGTCAAAAGAATAAAAAGGAGTTTAGTGAGTACAGATGAAAGCAGCTTCAACACCCTTCAGGAAGATTTTCACTGCACAAGGGAGCTCCTTCAATGATTAGACCTGTTATCCAGTGCTTGCTCATATTAGATGAAAACCAGTGAATAAATAGGTGAATAACTTTTGCTCATCCGGTCCTCAGTCTGCCTTCAGGAAAAAACAATGATGTTCACTCCACTTCTTTTTGGGTCAAATATCCAATTCCTTTAATCATTCTTATTTAATCATTCCAGACTTTATGAATCTGGCCAGACCCTTCTGAAGTGCTACAATTTGTTAATATTCCTCTATCCTGAGACCAATGGAACTGGACAAAGATTTTCAGGTTTAACAGGACACATAGAGGATATAATAAAAGTAGTCCCTCTCATTTTTACACAACTTCTTCCAACCAGCCTAAGCTTACATTAGTTTTGTTGGCAACCATGTTTCATAATTGCTTTGCATTTAGTTTACAGTCAAGGAAAATGTCAAGGATGATTTCTGAGAAAGAAAAAGGCAGCCCCTGACATCTAGGTACTGGCCTGGTACTATCATGCAAAAATCTATAGATACACCCCTTACCCAGATCTTGATTTCTAATAACAATAAGCTCCTTGGAGAAATGGGTGGTTTTAGGGATGGTGCAGAAATATACAAGATAAGTCTGGAGCATCCTAGAGCTCCCAGTGGCCAAAGCTGGAACAATTTGAATAAAGTAACTAATATAGTATTGGATTATAACCCAAAGTATAAATAAGTGTCCTTAAGTCCATATTGATATAAAAAATGATGGAAGAATGGAGGGAGAGAAGGGAGGAGGAAGAGAGGGAAGACAAACCCCCGATACAAAGAATTACAGATAATTTATATAGATACTCCCTTCTCGGGGAAATGGAACACAACTCCCCATTCCCTAAACTGTGGATTATGACTAGTACCTCTCTTCCAAAGAATATAACACAAAAGGAAGGAAAAGCAACTCTACAGCCAAGAAGTCTGACAAACACTACCTTAGCCAAGGTTAAACACCATTAGTGCTGTAAGTCATGCTGACAGCACGTACCCTTGATAAGAAGTGTTGAGAATGGTGCTTACTTCTGTGATCTTCACCCCCAAAAGCCTATAACCAAAGTCTAACCATAAGAAAAACATCAGGTAAACCCATATTAAGGGACATCCTACAATACATCTGTCTAGTATCATCAAGGTCATCAAAAACATTTTCTTAGAGCCTAAGGAGATATGACAGCTTAATGTAAGTGGTTTCCTGAATAAGATCCTGGAACAGAAAAAGGGCTTTAGGGGAAAAACTAGTGAAACCCTAATAAAATATCAAGTTTAATTAATAATGTGTCAGTTTTGGTTCATTAGTTATGACAAAGAAACCATATTAATGTAAGATGTTAACAGGAAAAATGGTTGAGGAGTATTCAAGAACTCTCTGGACTATCTTTGAAACTTTTCTGCAAACCCAAAAGTACTCTAAAATAAACATTTATTTAAATTTTAAAAAACCTATAAGAAGATTAGAGAAACTTTAGGCACTAATACTCAATTATTATCCACTGTACCACCTCATGAAGAAATGTTTTAGGAGCAATATTAGATGTTTTGCTGCCTTTTCCCACTCCTCAGCTTTCAGGGTTCTGGAAGATAACTGATTATGAGGTAAGCTACATGAGCTCAGCATAAATCCAAAGCTGTGATACCACTGCAAGAATTGGTGTGTGGGTGTTTTGTTTTGTTTTGTTTTCAAATGATGCCTTGTCTGATCTACTCTGATGATACTGAACAGGGCCAAAACAGAACACATACTGTTCCCCATTCAACCCCATTTTGGCTACCATTTCTACCTCAAAAAAAATTTTTTGGCATCACAAAACTGCTTTTGAGTTAGTGATATTATTTCCTGCTATACCTTTATCCTACAGCAATGACAGCTCTGGGAGTCAGGATTATGTCTGGATTCCTCAGCAGTGTACCTCCAAGCTCAATGGATTCTTGTTGAATGAATGAATAAGTAATAATTTTTTTAAAAAAGAATAAAATTTTCTATATACAAATCACATGATTTGTGCCAAAAACTGGGGGAATTTAACAGAACATACCTAAGTACATCAAAAAGGCTTATGAGCCATCTTAAGGAACTGCTTTAAAACCAGAATGCCCATTTGGGCAAATGTCCTTATTTTTAATATGTTTAGTAATCCATGGTAGCATGCAAATTCAACTAGGAGAACTGGGAAACCATTTGCAATTAATCTGTTTTGGAAGGCTAACAATTTTATTAACACTAAAAAGGTCATCATTGCTATAATAAAATTTTTACGACAACTATGATTGATGACAACTGATGGGACAAATTTTTTAGACTAAAACTACATGGTTGTGCTTTATGGCACTGAACTTCTGAACTTCAATCACCTACCCACGTGTTGTAAAAGAGAGCTGTTTTCTAAGGAAAATGATGACCATGTGTGTCTCTATAGCAAGAAATGAATTAGGCATCTTCTTGGGTATCTGCCTGGTCATTTTTATAAAAGAACATAGCCCTATCCTCCAGGCAAATGGATTTTCTGAGCTTAGGGATCTACCCATAATTGGTAAGATAAAATATTCTCAATCTAGGAATTTATTAGACTTACAACCTCATATTATCTGCAACCAGTTATTATACAAAACTCAGCTATATAAAATGATATTTGTAAAAGAATACCTGAAAGCTATGCAGTCCATTCATCCTTTAATATTGGAGCTTCTTGACCTGGGGCTCATGGGACCCCTGAAATTATACAGGGTTTAATTAAATTAATTAAAATTATAAGTGTGTGTATATAAAACCCCTAGTAAAGGGTCTATAGCTTCATCAGAATTTCAAAATGGTCCATAACTCAAAAAATGTCAGGCCCCCTCCTTTAATTCAAAACTTATCCTGGAATCAAGTCAAACCAAAATACAGTTGTATACTTGTTCTGTATTATTTTTGCTGCTTTTAAAATTGTTCACATTTAATTTAGTTTGAATGTGCTAGCATCAGCTTGCACTGACGGCAATCCATCACTGCTGGGATATTTGAAAAAACATGGTGACATCCACGATGACAGCCATTATAAACACTTAAGGGACAGATTTCTATCAGTTCCTAGTCTGAGGAAAAGCTGGGCTTCTCCCAAACATGTTTGGTTTTTCTTAACACATTGTGAATCCTGAAACTGCTCATGAATCCTTCTTCACCTTGAAAATAGGAAACTTGGACCAAATTTACAGCTACCCTTTATTAAAGGTATAGATTTTTATGACATGCATTTAAAAGTATGAATCTAAACATTAATTATGAATCTAAACATTAAAAGTATAAAACTAAACTCCATATTATTATTTTCCTGCCTTTATTTCTCATTATCCCAATTTCCTCATCTACTTCATGTTATCCTATTGTTTGGTATATTTCTTTAAAGCTTCATATTCTTTTTGGAAAAAGATGTGTGCTAGAAACAGGAAGTACAGAAAATACCTGAGATAACAGTTAAAGACTAAAGAAGAAACTTCTATCAAACTGCACTTTACTAACATGAAGTTCCTTACTGCCTTTCTGTTTATTATTCTTTTTTAAAAATGAAGACAATAAAATGGGAACATAAAAAAAATTTTAGCCCTAATGCATAGAAAAATAATATATAAGCTCAGTGATGAGATACATATATTAGAAGCCACACAGTACACTACATCAAGATTAAATAATACTTGTTAGGATAATATTGACATCAGTTTTGGCAGAGTTTTAAAGGCAATATTATGTATAAGTTGCCATATAAAATTGGTTATAATTTTACTCCATTGTATTAAAAACATTTTGCATTTGCATTTTAAGCTGTATTTTCTTTAAAATGAAGATGTTTTAAAAGCTGTCTTTTAAATAAAAAATTATTGACAAGTTACCTGAAGAGATGGGAATGATAATTCAATAGCCATAAAACAACTACATATCAACAAAAATACAACTTTCACCAATATTAAAGAATTAGAAACAACAATTTTGATAAATACTGCAGGAAACATTTAATACTCATAAATACTGACAGAGTTAAATTTTCAGGTTGGTGTCATCTTGCTTGAGGTATTTTCTCTGTTCTCTTAAATGTAAAACTCACGTTTTGTTAAAATCCAGTCCTATAAGGTTAGAGAGGAGAAACTGTTAATATTTATTGTAATCTGACTCTTAAGAGTCCCTCCTTTTAAACAACTCTATTGAAAAAATTAATTTCTAAAGCCTAAATACTATCTGATGTTTAAAAATTTCTTCAACAAATGTAATATAATTACAGGGCTAAATAGCAGAATCAAATATTTGTACATCAGACCTAAATAATACAAAAAAATTAAAAGTAAAAATCAAAGCCAATCATATTAGGAGAAAATATGGCAAATTTTCTATCTTCTTGGGTAAACTTGGAAAATCAGAAAATTCACTTAAGTACATATTAAATTACCTCCTGTAATCTTCTGTGGAAAATTATACTTGGGAGGCATCACCTGTCTTCTGCCCATTCCATGAGATCTTGAAAGCAAGCAGTCTACATACATATCCCAGAAATCCTGAGCTATGCTTAAGAAGACATTATAATGTCTCGGCCACTGGGATTTTTGCAGGAACAACATGAAATTCCAGAAAGCATCCACATCGTGGTCTATCTTGAGTTCCTTGAGATCTATCAATGTCAAAGAGCAAGCGTTCCAGCACTGGAGATCAATGTCTTCCATGATCCCTGGGCTGTTGCTGGCAAGCACCCCCTTTTGAAATTCAAAATCAGCATTAATCTCACTGATCAGCATCATGCAGCCCAGTGGTAGGTAGAACCATCTTCTTGTGACAAAATCCATATTCTACACAGGAAAAAAAAATAAGGGGATATGTTTTTAACTTTAAAAGAAAATTATTCAATTACTTGATGATCTGTTTAAACCTGAAAAATTGTAATACTTATGAACTTGGTTTTGATCAAGCCAGATTTGCCTACTAGGTATTTGTTGGTTTTCCTCGAATTGCCAACTCTCAGACCTCCCTTCAAAAGGATATTACAATTACAGCTTTACCAGCATCCTGATAAAGTCTTCAGAAGCCACTGAAATCCAGCACATGTTTATGAAGTTGTGATAGATTAATTTCATTACAGACACTTAAAGCTGAGAGAAACTTTAAAAAGCATGTGCTCCAACCTTGTGCCTTTAGAGATTAGAAAAATTCTCAGTGATATGACCCAGCAAGTTCTCAGGTCTCCTGTCTCCCTAACCAAGACTCCTACCATGACATATTTCAACCAAGTGGATCAAAATGCAGCCCATCCCATGATAAAAGGTTTGCTTGTTTTTTAATTGACGCTTTTCAATCTCTTAACCCAAATGATGTTGGATGCTCAAGCTCTATTTTAAGTTTCAAAGTTACTGATGCTTCCATTATTTGTTCTGTATTGATGTCTGGTGGATCCCTGGCTTTTCTCCGGGTGTTCAGGAGCTGGTCAGAGAAAGTTAACATACATACACGAAGGAGCACAAAGACAATAAAGGTCATATAAGAGAATATGAAATGGTGCAGCACCAATGACATTCAGCAAAATCTTGGTATTTTCACATGGTTCTTTTCACAAGTTTCCCTGATTACTGACTGCTTGTTAAATCGGCCTGAAGTCCATAAGTGAGGTCAAGGTCTAAACTGGCTTTGAATTGCCACAAGTTACCATTCCAGTCTGGAAGTGGAAATGTCCCTGTCACAACCTTGACAGCCGGGGCAGAGGAGTGAAGTGACAAAGACAGATCCAGAAGACAGGACTCACCTGCATCCCTCCACTTCCCCTCAAAAAGTTAGGTTATAGAGACAAATAGAATGAAACAAACTGAAACTTAGGTTATTCAGGTCGTCTGACCAGTGCCCTACTGGTGGGGTCACAACGCAGAGAGGAAGCCCACGGGAAAGTGGTACCTTAGCCATCTGCAGAGGCGCGTGGTCAGACGGGATGTCCTGCCTGCGCTGCGCTCGCTGGAGGGACAAGGGCGGCTTCTGCCTGGGAGGAACAAGAAGTCTCTGAGCCGGCTGGGGATGACCCTTGCCCTCAGGTTCCCATCCCTGCCCATCCCGACCCACCCTAAGGCAGGCGATAAGCAGATAGCGGCGTTCAGGGCCCCTCCGCAGCCCCTCCGCGAGCACTCACCTGTCGCCCTGAGATCGCCCTGCTGAACCGTCTGGGTCGTGCCTCTATCTGGGCCGGGAGGGAGCGCCGGGAGGCTCCAGTTCGCGGAAGGCGATGCGGTGAGCTCTGCCGCGACTGGAGGGGGCTCGGCAGTCAGCCCTGAAGCCCTCATCCCGCGCCTTTTCTAGAGACAAAGTGAGGGGGCAGAGAGTGGGTGGCCGCTCCCGAGGCCCCGCCCTCACCTTGCCCACCTCCCCAGCCCAGAGACCCAGGGACAAAGACAGCGTGAAAAAGCATAAAGTCATAAGCCTTTCTCACTAAAGATAATAGATTAAAAATCCTATGCAAAATATTATCAAACCAAATTCATTAGGATTTAGAAAAATACGCATCAGTATCAAGCTGGGATTATCCCAGGGATACAAGGATCAACACACAAAAATCAGTACATATAAACAAATTAAAGGGAGAAACCACTTGACAAAATTCAACACCTATTCAAGATTTTAAGAAAACCAAACTCTTAGCAAACTAAGAATGGAAAGGAATTTCCTTAATCTCATAACCAAAACCCTACAGCAAGCATCCTTCCTTAAACATCAAAAGCATTCTCTTTTAAATTAGGAACAAGACAAGGATTATCTTTGTTCACGTGTAAAACAATACCTACACAGAAAGGTTAAAAAAAAAAAGGAGGAAGGATTAGGATTAGAAAGGGAGAATCAGAACGTTTTAGCCTACTGGAGAGGCAGCAAAGCTACTGCTTCAGCATGAAGTTTAGAGACCAACGGCCTGGGTTTAAATCTTGCCTTCTGGGTTCAAATGAAAATCTGTATCTTTGGGCAAATTACTTAATCTCTTTGTGACTTAGTTTCCTTTTCTGTAAAATGGGGATAAAAAATGAACCTTCTTCATAGGGATGTTGAGGTAATTATATAAATATTTGTGAAGTGTTTGGAACAGTGCCTACCACATAGTAAGAATGCTATATATGTGTTTGCTTTAGATAATAGTAAAACAAATTATATCTACAGACAAATTACTTCAGTTAGTAAGAGTTTTGTAAGGTTTTATAGAATCAATCTAAAATATCTATTGCATCTCTATATGAGTAACAAACAAAATATAAATTAGAAAAGATACTATTTATAATAACAAAAATATAAGTTATCTAGAAATTAATTCAACAAATTAAATCCTTTATGGAGAATTTTCTTTATAAGACATTAAAGAAATTTTTTTTTAAAAAGAATGTTAGTATGTGGTCCATAAAGATATCTATCTTCTCAAAATGATACATAAATTTTCAACCAAAACCATAACAGGGTTAATGAAAAGTTAGTCTAAAAGTTTTATGATAAAGCAAGATCTAAGATAGTTAAAAATTTTCTAAAGGACAACAATAAGGAGAGGGGACTCATTGGTAATTAAATAGGATGTAACTGGAATAGAGAAATTAACCAATGGAGTACACTTGAGAGCCTAAAAACAGACATATGCATTCATAGAGACTTACATGTGACAGAACCGGAACTGCAGATCCTTAGGAAAACAGCACCTTTTTCACTAACTGAGGCTAAGACAATTGGTTATCCACATGGCAAAAAATAAAAGTGGACTTCTATCTCCTACAATCACAAAAACCAATCCTAGGTAGATTAAAAATTTAAATGTGAAATGTGTAAATGCATTACAACTTGAAGAAATTCAGATTACCCTTATGATCTTGAGGTTGGCAAGCATTTCTTACAAAAGATACAAGAAGTGCTAACCATAAAAGAAAAGTTAATACATTTGATTACATTAAAATTACCTTTGTTAACCATAAGACACCATAAATAAAGATAAAGGACAACTATAATCTGGGAGAAGATATTTATAGCACATATAACCCCAAATGGATTACAACTGGGATCCAAGATAGAAGAATCTTCATGGAATCAACAAGAAAAAGACAAATATCACAACAGAAAACTGAGCAAAAGGCTTAGAGGGGCATTTTATAAATAAGGAAACATAAATAATGAATGACTTGTATAAGCATATTCATAACCTCACTGCAAGTAGAGAAGTACAAACTGTGAAAGACTACAATAAGTTATCAACTCACAACCATCAGGTTGTCAAAAATTAAGAGTCTAGCAATATCAATGTTTGTGCTTATATGAAGGGTATTAGGGTTCTCCATGAAAAAAAGGGAAAAATATACATCTAATATATGTGATATACTACAAATACATATATATAAAGATTTATTATAAGGAATTAGCTCACATGATTATGGAACCTGGGAAGTCTCATGATCTGCTGTCTGCAAGCTTGTGACCCAGGAAATCTGATGGTGTAGTTCCAGTCTAAGTTCAAAGGACTGAGAACCAGGAGAGCCAATGGTGTAAGTCCCAGTGGAAGGCAAAGAAAAGACCAATGTCCCAGCTCAATCAGTCAGGCAGAGAGAGAAAATTCTCCCTTCCTTTGCCTTTCTGTTCTATTCAAGCTCTCAACAGACCGGATGATGGTCACCCACATTGGGGAAGGTTTGCTCAGATGGCCAATTCAAGTGCTAATCACATCTGAAAGCACCCAGATAGACATACCCAGAAATACTATTTAACCAAATATCTGGGCATCCCATGACAAAGTCAAGTTGACACAAATAATTAGCCATCAAATGAAGCAACAGGGACTCTTACACTATACCAGGAGGAGTGCAAATTGGTTTGATTAGTCTAGAACACAAACTGGCACTATTTTGTGAGTCTGAACAAGCACATAACCTGCAGTAAGTCTTTTTATTCCCAGAAAAGATCTTGAAGAAAAGTGTATACGGGCACCAAGAAACATACATTACAGTGGGGTGTTCATAGTAGCACTGTTCATAAAAGTAAAAAAAATGGAAACAATTATAATGACCATTAACAGGAGAACAGATAAATTAACTATGGTATGTTCACGCAATGGGATGTAATTCAGCAGGGAAAATGAGTAGACTACTGCTATATGCATTACAGATGAGAAAAGCAAATTGCAGAAGATACGATTTTTATAAACTTCAAAGACAAGCAAAATGAAATTATATGCTGTCTATAAATACGTATATACCTGACAAAGTAATTTTAACAGTAACGAAGTGATTTAGGGGAGTGGTTAGGTTTGGGTGTACAACAGAATGAGATGTAGAAAGAACGTATAGAGAACTTCTACGATGGTAAGTTCACTACTCTTTTTATGATTATAATTGCCAACAAATATATGTTAGGCATGTTCTTTTCTACTGTCAAATAACACATTATAAAATTTTTAGACAGGGACAGGATAATATATTTCAAATGCATAAAGACAAAACTTGTTGACTGGTCACATTGACATGATATGAAAAGGAAAGATAACAAATGTTTTTAGCATGCCTGCTTATGGAGTTGACAATGACAAATATGAAAGATGGAAAGGAAGGTTGGAGGGAAGGATAAATTTGATTCAGGATGTGTTGCATTAGAATTGATTCTGGATCTTCTGGAGTATCTCCAACTTAGCTAGAAATACAAATTGAGAGGTCTCTGTTTTGATAGAAAATTACTGTTGTTATGAGAGTATACACTGATAAAAGAAAGCTGATATGAAGGTGGAGGACAATGCCCAGATTTAGGGGTAAATGAACTGCAAATGGAATCAATGAAGGAAGAAGAGATTGACTATTCAGTCTATTCAAGCTCCAGGGTGGTATGATGTCACAGAATCAAAGGGTCTGAAGGTTTGTGCCCCCTCCACATTTATATGTTGAAATGCTAATCCTAAAAGGTGATGGTTTTAGGAGGTAGGGCCTGTGGGAAGTGTTTAAATCACGGAACCCTGCTGAATGGGAAGAATGCCATATAAAAGAGGCTCCAGAGAGACCCCCAGCCCCTTCCACCATGTGAGGACACAGCAAGAAGTAGGCAGTCTGCAAACCAGAAGAGGGCCTTCACTAAAATCCAACCATGCTGGCACCCTGATCTTTGACTTCTAGCCTTCAGAACTGTGAGAAATAAATTTCTGTTGTTCGTAAGCTACCCAGTCTCTGATATTTTGTTATACCCTCCTGAACAGACTTAGATAGAGGATATAAAGAATCAGAAGACTGCTGTAGTGTAGGTCAAACACTTGAAATAAGATTTTTCATTTGGCAAAAAGAGGGTGCAGTGGTGAAACTCTAAAGCATACAATACGTTTAAAAAATAGCCATGATAATTTCATGTAGAAGCTTAGATTTAACAACCAGTTATTTATAAAGTTAACTAATCTATCTTATTTATCATTTTATCCAAAACAAACCTTATCCTAATAATCACCTATATTTTCTATGACATGCATTAATTTTATAAAAATCACCTTCACCAGCAGCAATACATGCATCACCAACCTATTGTTATCATCTTGTTCCCAGCATATTCCTGTGGTCCCCAAACTTCATCTCTGAGTTACATCATTGAACATCTCTCCCCTTCTCTCCATCACATTAGGCCCTGACCCCACTTCGAAGTCTCTTCCACTTAATTTACCTTACTTCTGCAATTAGGTGTTCATTTTCACGACCTTCTGTGGCATCTATTTATATTTGTATTTGGCATCTATTATTATATATGCTGTCTTTTTTCCATGAGAACACGTACTCTTTCCTACTAGTTTATAATAACACTATCTTTAGTTCATGTTTTCTAGTGACTGGCATATAATACAATCAGCACTCAATAAATATTTCGATCTGACTTCTACTTCATATCCATGAATACTCCCTCCACTTAGGGAGGTTTGTTAACTTTTCACAAGGCACACCCAAGTCCTTCAGAACTTTAGTGTTGCCCGTGAAGATTTCCTGGTGAATAGGCCAGCAGCTTATTTATTTGCCCATGCTTCCCACCTTCCAATAGCTTCACTGTAGTTCTGTCACAGTTCTGTTTATCCTGTTTCTTCTTTATAGAGCATGTTTCTCCAGGAAATACTACATAATTACACCCCCAAAGAATTCAGAAAAGCACTCCACACACAGCAAGGACATGTTGACTAACTAATGCTGAATACCCACAAAAAGAATAATTTTTCAATTCACCAAATTTCTGACTCATAATGAAAGACATTAATTTAAAACATCTACAGTTCCAATTGCCTCTAGTAAACCTTAATAACAATGTATTTATCAAAGTGTGATTC